GGAGAACCATCTAGATTGTAATTTATTTTACTTTTTGGCAATCCAGCCGGCTCTTGGGGCAAACATGAAATTTGGAAATTTTATTGTATTTTTGTATATATATTTGAACATAAATGCGAGATAAATAAAGTGAATGAAAATGAATAAATGAAAATAGGAAGCGGATCATTCAAGTTGAAGGAATTGAACCCTACAAAAGAAGAAACAAAATGAGCGAAAAAGTAAAATTTACATGTTGCAATCGTATATCAAGGGAGGGCTCCAAATATATATTCAATGCTTCTTTGATGTTCCCTTTGTTCCCTTCATAAACAGTATTGCCGGAACATATTATTTTTAAATAGTTCTCGTTACAAACATCATTGCATTTGTGGGAACTACATAAGTGCTTAAAAATATCCGAATTTCTGTTCGTTCCACTATGTGTAAACCCTCAAGTTATATGAAGAGAGAGATAGACTATGATTGAATGATGATGATTGGATAATGATTCAGTTGTATGAGAGAAAGTGCCTGGGGTCAGACCTTCACCAATATCTTATAGGTCTCAGTGGTCTAATGGATATGATACTCGTCGTGATAGCGAGAGGTTGCAGGTTTGAATAACCAGAGAAACTTTTTTATACAACTGAAATAAAGGAACTTTTCTTTGATGAGCTTTGCTCGTTCCTATTAGAACATTAATTTTATCTATTTGTTTGTACAGTATTATGTTTACACTGTTACACAGCAAACTTGATTTGGATATTATTTATTATGATTTCCCAGCCAGCATCGCCCCCATCCCCAACTCAGGAATATTCTGCCCCCACCCCTGCCAAAGTCTCTGTATATTTCATGGTATTTTGAAGTATCAAATTATTATTTCGAGGGAACGAAATAGTATTTTGAAGCAACGGAATATTATTTTAATGAAACGAAATTATCATTTCAAGGAAACGAAATGTTATTATTTTGAATCTATGAAATATTTTAGGGAACCAACTAATTATCACTTTGGATGAAACACTATTAAATTAAATACTGTTTCCGAGAAACGAAGTAATATTTCGAATTTTCTTCGTGGGATCGAAATATCATACAGTATTATTTTAAAGGAACGACAGGGCTATTTTGAGGAAACGAAATGATTTTCAGGGAATAAAATAATATTATCATCACAGTATAATAGTATTAACTATTATCATCACTATTAATATTATTAGTATTATTTTTATTTATTATTATTATTATTATCATTATTTTTATTATTATTATTATTGTCATCATATTTTGAAGGAACGACATTATAGTAGGGCTATTTTAAGGAAACGAAATGATTTCCAGGGATTAAAATATATTATCATCACAGTTTAATAGTATTAACCATTATTATCACTATTAATATTATTAGTATTATTGTTATTTAATATTATTATTATTATTATTATTATTATTATTATTATCATCATATTTTATGATCTTTTTGCAATTATTGACAAGTTTTGAGAGCGCTGTTGAAAAATATATCCCGATGCATTAGAAACATTTCCATACAGCTTCAACCGAGGTATACATTAATATTTATAACACTGAAATCAACCAAAAAAATATATCGGACACGACTCATTGGCTATAAAATGATGAACACGGAGACAAAATGCATTGAATTTTCTTTGCTAAATTAAACAAAATTGGCTAGCTTAGATTAGGGTATAGTAAAGTTTTATGCTGATATTTTATTCAATGAAAATATATTATCTTGTAATTTGCTTAAAATAATCCTCTCCTTCAATGCGTAAATGTTTTCGAGAAAGGAAAGGTTGGGGTGGGGAAGGTGTTTGAAAATACTATGCAATACATATACCTATAATAATGATAAATAGAACTCTGATGGAGTATAAACGAATTTTCGAAAGCCATGCTCCCTCCTTCAGGGGTAAAATATCCAGTAATCTAAATGCGATCAGAAAATGATTTTACCTTGGAAGAAAAACGAGGGAAATGATATAAAGAAACGCAATATAATCTAAGAGATTATTTCCAGAGAACGACATATTGTTTTGAGGGAACGAAATACTTTTTTCGGGGAACAAAATATTAATTAGGCCTATAATGAAATACTATTTGCAGGGAACGAAGTGTTAGTTTTGGGGAATGAAATACTATTATTTTTAGGGAACGAAATATTGTTGTGAGGGAACGAAATACTATTTCCAGGGAACAAAATATTAATTATAATGAAATACTCTTTTCAGGAAACGAAGTATTATTTCGAGGTAACTAATTTTGAGAGAACGTAATCTTTTTTGGAATCGAAATATTTTGATTATTTTGAAGAAATGGAATTATAGTAGGTCTATATTGAGGAAACGAAACGAGTTTCATGGAATAAAACATGTCTATAACTATTATCACAGTATTAATCATTGTTAGTATCTGTATTAGTATTATTGTTATTCTTTATATTATTATTATTATTATTATTATTATCGTCATCATCATCATCATCATCATCATATTTTATGTTCTTTTGAAATTATTGTCAAGTTTTGAGGGCGCTGTTGAAGGATATACTGTAACTCGAAGGGGTAGAGACATTTCCATACAATCAACCGAGGTATACAATACATTAATATTTATAACACTGAAATCAATCCAAAAACGTATTTTTGTCGGCTCATGAGCGACAAAATGATGAACACAGGGACAATATGCGTTGTATTTTCCTTGCTAAATTAAACAATATTGGCTAGCTTTGACCAGGGTATGCAAACGTGTTATGCTGATATTCCATTCAATGAAAATGTGTAATCTTGTAGTTTGCTTAATGTAATCACCTCCTCCATTACTTTTCTGGACTGGGCCCGTTGACCTGTATGCGTTCAATGAGTAAATGTTTTCTATAAAGAGAGGAGCGGGGGCGGGGGGAGGTGGGGTGGTTGTTTAAAATGTATAGAAATAAATTTTTTTACAGAAAAATTTGTATTATAATAAAATTGAAATGTAAGGTAATAATAATAATAATAATAATAATAATAATAATAATAATAATAATAATAAGTTACGCTTGACAATGCGAAGCTTCAATGGGCTTTACAACCACACACACTCTTACACGAACACTGAAGGAGCAAAGGAGTGTATATAATTATAATATATATATATATATATGTGTATATGTGTAATAT